CAGGCGCGTGGACTTGGTGTTGTTGTAGTATGCACTCCTAGCCGCCTGAAGTGCATACTACATTGAATTGCACACACTTTTGCATCACCGTTTGCACGCGGATTTCCCACACAAAACACTCGTCTAAACGCAGAATAAAAAGTGATGACGCAACGCCACTTTTGCGTTTTCTCTTCAGAATCGTTTCCGTGTAAACAGAGCCTGAATCTCCTCCATACAAAACTCAAAACGCAAAACAAACGCGCAGACTGGGAGGATCAGTCACACGCAGTTCAACATCACTACATAATCTTCCCGTCCCGGACCGGTACTTTAGTCCGCGGTGTAAATGCAGTAAGCAAGCGGTCTGGGGCAAAAAAAAAGTTCCTATGAAAAAACTTCCTGGGACAAATATTTCCTGGTAATTGCGGTGGAAATGCGGCTTTAATTAAACACACCTCAACAGGCTAACCAAGGTCTTCAGGATAAGTAGAAGGTTGCAGGTATGTGAGTTTGATCAAGGTTGGAGCTAAACTCCGCGGGAAAGTGGATATTGGGGGCCAGAGTTGAGAACCCCTGGATTAGTCAATTGGTGTGGGATGAGTTTCTGTCTGTGAGGATTTTTAGCAATACCGTTGGGTTCCCTAATAATTTACGTCTCTAAATTCATGCAAAGCACCACTGCTCCAACCATACAGTAATACAAGTGCAATTGTGCATAATGTTATTGCCTCTCTTTGCAGGTTCTGTCAGTGCAGTCTGTTTGGATTTGGCATATTTGCCGTCTGGCTCGGCAGCTTCCACTGTCGATGTGGAGTTTTTCCGCCGCCTCCGCTCATCCTGCTATATAATTAGTGGAGATGAGCCGCACAAGAAAAAAGTCATGAGACCTATTCTCGACTCTCTTTTAGAGGGCAAAGCATCCTGGCCAGATGTTCAGGTAACTAGATGTTTTATTCATCGTCTTTCGCAAGCTCAAGGTGCAGAACCTTCTGAATAATCTTGCATTGTTTATCCTGGTGGATGGTTTAAAGGGATAGTTTTGGCAAAGTTTACTGCACAGGTTTACCGTCACAGTCAGATAGTTACTTTACTGTTTTACTTAGAATATTTTTCACTTACAGGTGACTTTGATCCCCACATTTGATTCAATAACTATGCACAACTGGTACCAGGAGACCCATGAACGGCAGCGAGAACTGTCAATCACAGTACTTGGAAGCAACAGCACTGTCGCCATGCAGGACGAGACCTTCCCAGCATGCAAAGTGGAGTTTTAAAGACGCATGAAGAATCACACCCCTGCCTGTCACTAGAGCACTTCTGTTCACTTTCAAAACAATGTGCAAAATGATGCCTCTCAATTTCTTCACACATTTTACCTTGTTTACCATGAAGCGTTTCGGTTCTATTCATCAGCAATGATGTTTTATCAGTAATTTAACATATACACTTGCTGCTTATTAAAGTGTTATGGATTCTGTGTAAACAGGGTAGACAATATTGCCATTTATTTGTTATGGCTATTTCTTGCAGGTATGTTTTTTTTTTATATAATGCATTGCATCGTGTGGATATCTAGCATGTTGAAAACTAGATGTTACCAGCTCATGGTCCTACATTACTCATATATTTTGCACAGTTTAGATGCCCCTTGGAAAACTATGTTAGAATAGAGTTAAATATCCATGTTAAAACTTGATATGCCTGTAAATGGCAAATGTATCCTAGCGTTTTACTGTGCAGATCATGCCAATGTGTATCAGTGGACCTTAAACAAGTTTGTTTTCTTTTAGGGGGGAATTAGGGCAAAAAAACAACAACTAAGCTGAACCACCTTCGTCAATAAATGAACAAAAATTAAGCTATACCATTTCGACAAACATTTCACTAAGATAATAGAGCAGTGCTTTGTACCAAATGGTGATTTTAAGATTGAAATGTTAAATGGAAAATGTGGTTTCAAAATGTAAGGTTTTATTTAACACATTCCCGTCTTAAGACGTCAACTAACTGACGCTTTTGACCATACGTCAACATCCAACGTTTTAGGGTACCCTTTTAAGCTTTACCTTCAGCGTCAGTTAGATGACGCGGGTAGGTTCATGTCTGGGGTAGGGTTAGGATTAGACATCGTCATCTAACTGACGTTAAAGGGTACCCTAAAGGTCGGATGTTGACGTATGGTCAAAAGCGTCAGTTATATGACGGTTTTATTTTATTGCGAACACTATGTTGGAAAGTAGAGATTATTTTCGTGGAACATATTTGTAGTGAAAGCCAGGTGACATTAGTTCTTCATTTATTGGGAGTAGAAATTACTCTGCTTTTTTTGTCTCTTGGGTCCTTGTCTTGGCTACTTTTGAAAGGAAGCATTTGTATACAAAGATGAATGCCTTATCGTTCTGCCATCATCGACTAACACTAAAGTAGCATGTCATTTGAATCGCGAATGCTTTTTGTTGATTTAGTTGAATGTCGTGTAGTAGACATCTCAGCTAACGTGCACATTGTCACAGCAATGACTGCAATACTTTGTAAGAAATTAAATATTTTATGGAAAGAGCCTCACCACACCAAAATTAAAACATGTTTTTCTTTGTTTGGTCCTTTATAAAGCCGTTAGTGGGATAGTATATGCGTTACCTTTTTAAAATGGCACTTTGATTCTTTTCCTTTCTGAGCCGATAAAACGTTTTTTTTTTTTTTTTTGTTTTTTTTTTTATGAGGTACAAGTACTATGTTTGAGATTTTTTTTCCCTTAAAAGGAAAAAAACAACCAAAAACGTTTATATAGCGTGTGCTAATGTCACTAACAGGCTTAAATATTTCAGTAAGGGATTCCAAAATGTAAGCATATTTTCAAATGTCAATTAAAGTTGATAAATTAAAAATGAGAGTACTGTGTGTTTCTTTCTTTGTAGTGATGTAAAACTATGACAAACAAAAAGTTAAATCTTTTAAATTGATACAAATGAAATACAGTGTGCACCATGGTACTGTGCAATAACGACAGTCATATCAGATGGCACCTGAGTGATTATATCAATAAATTGTACTTAAAAGAATATCGTGACATGATCTGATAGTTGATTTTATGGAACTTGTTTCTGTCAACTGTGTGTAGGGCAGGCACGTGCAGAGAGGGGGGGGGGGGGGTTGGGTGCTCGAGCACCTGCCCTTTTGCCCCTTGGTGCCCAAAGTGCCCTTTTGTCAAGACAAAATTTCCTCTCCTTTTTTTGTATTTAAAGGCACTTTTGTGGATGCCTGCCCCATCTAACTAGTAGTAAAATGAATGAATAATAATTTAGCCGTAAATAAAATGACCCACGTGATGACCTTTCACCTGATTCCTCACGCTGCACGCGCATTTTATAATTTCGCGCGGCTACGCGCAATCGCGCATTCCCAGAGGATATCTTCAACTCTTGCGGCTGCTGGTAAGTGGTGTTTTATTCTCAGCGAAGTGATTTTGATGTTTGTTTACTTATTATTATTATTTTACTAGAACGACGTGAAGAGAGCATGCAGAGAGATGTTGTTTGTATTGCTGTGTGTAGGCTGTAGAAGTAACGTTAGCTTGCTGTTTGAGGGAGAAAAGTTTCACGGGCGTGGAGGGGTGTTATTTGACTAAAAACTATTATTTTTTACTTTAAACTATTATTATTATTATTACAGTATTTATTAAAAAAAATATTTTCACATAAAAATGATTATCACAACTCTGGTAAGTTATCACATAGTCTTACCAGTTAGTATCTTATGTTTTGTGTGCAGAAGCCTCTGTGAACATCTGCCCTAGTAACATTACTATTATATACTATTATTGTATTAGCCTATATACTTTAGCAGCCTGGGTAGAATCTGTAGCTTTAGCAGGTCAGTGAACTAGTGAGCCAGTTCCAAACACTGTCAGCAATCTTTACATCTTGACATGGTCACATAAAAATGGTTTATTCAGCTAATACCCTATATTTCTGTTTATTTTAATGTCTACAGTCTCAGATCAACTCCAGCAGTATCAGCAGCAGCAGTAACAACATCAACAGCAAAGGCAGCAAACTCACTTAAGGACTTAAGTAAGAATTTACCAGAACAGGCATCACATTAATGTTAAAAATTAAAAAAAAAAAAAAAGTATTAATTGCTGTTTCTGTTTGCTTTGTTTTTTTATTTTCATTGTATAAAATGTAACTCTTGTATTTTTATAAATCAGTTTTTGCCATGAAAATAGCCACAGATGCTGATATGCCGTTAAATAAAACTATACTGTACTGCACGAAACATGGGCCACGTTGATTTTGTCCTATACAGTTCACTATAACAGCTGTTCTTTATTATTCTGTATAACAGAGAAGAAAAAGCCATCAGGTTGGAACAACTTAAGATGCTTCAGTTTCTAATCCCAGAGTTATATATAGAGCACATCAATTATTTTCTTTAATTTTAAACTTTAAATTTGTCTTTTCTGTTCTGGTTCTTTTTCAAAACTGCATCAATGCATTTGCTGCTGTATCGATGCAGAATCATCTGTATTGATATATTACTGTATTGATATTTTGAGCACAGCCCTATAAAGCCTTGTTTCCATGTGCCCCATTTTATACTTTGAGCACCTGCCCTTCCAGAGGTCTCTGCACGGCCCTGGTGTAGGGTAGGATGATTTTACAAAATATTGATAAAAATGAATCCTTGTAATGAACTTCAGAGCTCAATGAAAATATATCCGTCATCGAGACATTCATCAAAAACAATAAGTGTGTGCACGCTTAGGTTTCGAGGTCATGCAAAACTAAATGGAGACAAAAATATTTAATTTAATTTCGTTATAGTCAGATATAATTGTGATTTCAGTCTCACGTAAGGATCTTGTGGCAGAGGAATGAGACTTCACTATAAAATAACCTTTTAAAAAATGTTATTTGATTGTGTATCGAAGTTATTTGAATATATTGGAACAAGATATTTCATACAACCATAAGGTTTGTCTGCCCTCTGCTGGCCGGAAATTATACAGACCACATGCACTTTCGTTTTCTCGATATCGAGACTGAACATAGCACTTGGATCCTCGGCTCTCTTTTACTTCATTGTTGTAAGTAGCCTATGTTTTAATTTGGTTTTCATTGACATACTGAGTTATGTGTTCATTACAAAAATAACCATAGCTAAAACACTGGTAAAGCTATACTGAATTATATACTGCTATACTGGTTTTGAAATTTTGAGAGAGGTCTGACATTTATTTAGCGATTCAAACTATGCCATCTTTAATAGCCTATGTGTTAATTGGTCAAAAGGTAAAATATTATTCGATTTACATGGACCTTTCCCATCTAACAGGGAACCTTGTCATTACTTTGGCTCATGTTCTGGCAAGTTTGGATGCGGCTCACACGGCTCACTGTTCGTATGTGTTCACAGTCACAGGACAGCGTGTTAAACTGAAGCAGTGCTGGAGTTTATTCAATTCTCAAGTCTAGTCACATTTATTTCTATAATTTTAATACAAATTGTTTCAAAGCAGCTTTTCAGTGACAACAGGAACACAATGCATATTAATAATGTACTTTGTTTCTAGAAGAAAATGGCATTTCTGTTGGAAAAAAGTTATTTATTTAGTTAATTTTAGGCTAATATATATAGCCGCTATGGAGAAAACCGTGATGTCATCGTCGTAGTTCAATTCTCATATAATGGTGTCAATGTGGCCAGATCAATAATACTGTTGAATATTAAATGTCCCAACTAAGCAAGAAAGCCAAAGGCGACAGTGACGGGAACCCAAACTCCATCAGTGACAGAATGACGAAAAACACTTGGGAGAAACTAGACTCAGATGCTCAGTTCTCCTCTCTGGCCAATGATGAACGAACAGTGTGTGTTTATGATCAGGCAGCATTACAGGTCAGAAGTCAGATCAGAACATTCAGGATATTTATCCAGTTCCATTAAGTAATTATTGAGCATTAGTGATGACACACTGAAAGAACGGTGAATCACCATTATGGTAATCAGTGTTTAATGTAGTTGTGCTCTTTACTCTCGGTTGTTTATTAGTTTATCTCTGGCTGGTTTTAAAAGTGTGTTCAAAAAACTCTTTTACTGTGGCAGAAGTTGATGTTGGCTGTTCATTAATGTCATCAGGAAGTGGCCTGATTCACTGATCACATCTGTAGTCATCTCACTGAAGTGGCTTTTGCTGCTGATCATGTGAAAGCCGACTATCAGATATTCGAATAAATGATGAAAACATATTGCGAGCAGGAAGTTATTAACTATAGTGTCATTTAGACACTCACATACATTAACAATTAGCATGTTTCATAATTGGACATGTTTCATGCCAGCATACAAAAACTTCAAGCTCAGCATGCATTCCAGAATTTATTATGGTCACCATTGTTGAGGTCAGTATTACAAATAATATTTCTGTCACAACTACTGTATTTGCTTCAGCTTCATAATTATTTAAATCTGTCAAGAAACTACAAAAAAGGAGCTATTTTTTATCAATGCAATGATGTTCACTGTAAACATTATGAAATGAGGTAAAAGTCAAGACTCAAGGCTAACACTGATCATCATAATGGTGACATAAGAACCTATTTTCAACCAAACATCAACATCTAAACCTCTGTTAATCTCATTAAAAACTTTTGCACGTGGATGAAATAAAATTAAGACAAACTGGACTGTAATAAGTGAAGATGTAATGCTGTGCGTTGTTTAAAGTCCAACTGTAGTCAATGATTTTATCCCTTAAAACTCATTTTTGATCACCAAAATTACCCATTTAAACATATTTTCCTTGAAAAAAAATGTCTTCATGCCTTAAAGCTCCTAAATCACTTATGATTTTCCACAGCGCTTATTGTCTTGTTTTTTTGTCTACTGAACAATGAAATAACAGTCCAACCCACTGACGAGATGTATTTCTGTCCCTCACAGCCTCGCTTGCATTCCCGTTAAACATCAAAGATGGCGCTGCTGTGAATAAGGTCTATTCTTCTGGTGTTATGGACGATGTGTCGTGTGTGTGTGTACTAATCTAAGATCTTCTACTGCTGTCTCTGATTTTAGGCACATCAGCAAACATCCCCTTCTCTGATCGAGAATTTTCACTGCTGGTTTTAAAGCCTTATCTTTTGGCAAGCCTCAAACAGTCATGGCCTATATGTCATCAGCACAACCAGCTTTTGGTGCCGTAAATTCAGGCTTCAGTTTTGGATCAGCAGTGTCAGAGACCAAATCTGCTCCCAAAACTGAAATAACAAATAAACCTCAGATCCCTCCTCTAGGTAAAATAACAGTTATTCAAACAAGCTCGCAAATAATTATAAGAAGTTGCGCTGTCTATTTCAGAACAACTTTTTTTTTTTGTTCCCAAACAGATTTTATACCCTTGCTGGAAAAGCAGTGGAGAATTATGGATTGGAGTGAAGAGTAGGTTGATCCACAGCCTGGAAAGTTCCTATGTCGTGAGATTGAGGTATCTAACAGCATTAATGTGTTTAGAGCGAAGGAGACCCTGATGGAGTCGGTCAGGTCGTTTAAACCGGCCAGCGAGAGCGTGACTGAAGCCAGGGTTCTGCTGATCGGCCCAGTCGGCGCTGGGAAGTCCAGCTTCATCAGTTCTGTCCAGTCTGTGTTCTCTGGACGGGTCGTTAACAGAGCCATGGTGGGATCCTCATCCTCCACCAGCTTCACCAAGAAGGTAAACATCACTAGATTTCATTTTAATTGTGAAGTGAACTACTCCTTTAAAGAGTAGCTAAACACTTAACCAACTTTTTTTAGTTAATGATCTGTAAGAATGGATCTTTATTAATACCAGTCATTGATTCGAGTAACTTTTTTGGCATTTGTTTATAAAGTGTTTTATTTCTACAATATATGGTGTAAAAACGTCTTAGTGCTGCCCTCTTCAGGTTGAACGGTGGCTACTGCAGTTGAATTTTCCTATTGGATGTTTGCGGCAAATATTGCCAGTGGGTGGAGTCAGGCTCTGACCAGGGGTTTAGTTTACCCTTTAATGGGAACATTACCTTTCATCATTCTTCAAACACTATGAAACGTTACTTGTGAACGTTCTGAAACAAGTAGTGACATCTAAACAAATTTTAGGCAAACGTTTCATGAACGATTTATAAATAATGTTTTTGCGCTAACATTATTAAAGACCAGATAATTATGAATGAATGTTTTATCAACAGTACTGGAAGAGCGTTTGTTCATGACTTCGAGAAAACCTTGCTAGAACATTAGCTGAAGTTCGGAGATCGTTATCAGGGTTCAGTTTTTGCAGAACGTCGTGGTTTATTTCGGTTGGTGTTCCTCAGCTTCGCTCGTTCAGCATCAGAGGGGCCGGAGAGAAGGCGGACGAGCCCACAGCTCTGGTCATGTGCGACGTCATGGGGGTCGGAGAAGGAGAAATCACTGGACTCACTCTTCATGATGCGCTGTCGGTCATTAAAGGACACGCTCCAGAGGGACACCAGGTACGGCTCAGCTGGTTAATGCCACTTTCATGTCTTTCAACAAAAGAAACATGTTTATATATGAAGAGTTCAGATGCAAAAGCCTCTAAATGCCATTTGAAATTTTCTTCTTTAATGATGATTTTTGTCAAACTTGTATATTTAAGTTCAGTAATTTCACTTAAATAACAATTAATAGGTAATTATCATTGCCATTTAAGTGAAATCACTGAACTTAATTATACAAGCTTGATAAAAATGATCATTCTAGAAGAAAATTTCAAATGGCACTTAGAGGCTTTTGCATCTGAACTCTTCATATGTATATTTTGTGAACCTTAAAGGGATACTCCACTTTTTTTGGAAATAGGCTCATTTTACCACTCCCCCAGAGTTGAACAGTTGAGTTTTACCGTTTTCGAATGTATTCAGCCGATTTTTTTTATTTTTATAAGAATATCAGTAACCAGACAGTTTCTGGTCTCATTGACTTCCATTGTAGGAAAAAATATACTATGGAAGTCAATGAGACCAGAAACGGTCTGGTTACTGATATTCTTCTAAATATCAGAAAATCGTCTGAATGGGTTCGAAAACGGTAAAACTCAACTGATTAACTCTGGGGGAGTGGTAAAATGAGCCTATTTCCAAAAAAAAGTGGAGTATCCCTTTAAAGCATTACATTAGTATGTCTATATATTTTACAGTTTATAAATATATATATATGGTTATGTAATATTCGAATTTAAAATGACTTAAATACGCTTGGTACTTTTTCAATGCAAAGGTAACTTCTATAATTACACAGGTGATACAATGAAACTCAAAGGGAAAACTTCTGTTTTAAGCATATCCTTGTCATGTAAATCAGTGGGGATTTCTTTAAGACTGAAGCTCGGATTTCCCTATAATGTCAAAAAATTAATGGTCAAATATGTACTATTGTGTTTACATTTTATTGACTAAAAATGTGTTAGAATGATTGGTGATTTATTCTTCGGAAACAATATTTTAGAGTAAAAAGAATGGTTCTTTCTTGGAAAATAAATTAACTGTAAATTATGAGGTAATTCTTTCTACATTTACAAAAACATTTCATTGAAAATGTAGTATTTAGTTTACCGTACTGGGGTGCGTTTCCCGAAAGCATGGTTAGCCAACTATGGTCGCAAGTTCCGTCGTTATCAGCATAGTTCAACGAGTCATTGTTTCCCGAAACCATCGTTCCAACGAACATTCGCAAACAGCATCGCAAAGTTGTGTGGTTTGAACGACAGCTCTCGACCTGTGGTTAGAGGCATCGTTTCTGTATTTCATGACATTTGGAGGTAATAAATCCTTATCTTGAGCATAATAAACAAGCTGACATTCAGTGCAACCGGTGTCTTTTATTTAGAATACACACAAATGTAATTTATGTCTTTTAGTTTTTCAAAAGATTTGAAGTAACGTGTTTGAAGAGTGCGCATATGCGAACGTGCTCTACTATGTAAGAACGAGCCAAATATTGAGTCTGGTAATAAAGCAAAACAACTGAGAATAATTAGAAAAAGTCCTCAGATGACATGTCTGTAATTTATAAATACAAAATCTAGCGTTAATTGGATCTCAAACAGTTTCATTAAAAGTAGTTATTACTCCACCACGTGCGAAACCAATGTGGTCAAACGATACTTTGCGACAGTGGGTTTCGGGAAACAGTCGTGACTAGCTAGTTGATTTCTCCAGCGATGCATCGTACTATGGTAGTGAAGCAAGGAACTACGTCGTTGTATGGGAAACGCACCCCTGTATGATTTTACATTATTTACAGTATTTTTACTGTGAACTCTTTACTTTAAACTCAGTGTCGAGGAAGTGTGTGTTTGTCAACAGTTATTGCGGTACTCCAGTGATACATGGTTTTGTTTGTGCAGTTTAGTCCCGATCAGCCAGTGGGAGTGGAGACCGTGGGCTACGCGCGGAAGCCGAGCGTCACGGATAAAGTGCACTGCGTGGTGTTTGTAGTAGACGCCTCAAAGGTCGGCTCATACGCCAAAAGCTTCGGCACAACCTTCCAGCAGCTCAGAGAACACATCAGCAATCTAGGTGAGTCGGGTCTGTTTGAAGCATGAATCAGATCACTGCGTTCACACTTCACACACTGAAAATTGTGTTATATGCCATGAACCACCAAACCAACCAGCAACAAAGTGAATCTCAACATTACAAACTTTGATTTGAAGCAAAAAAGTGTTTGAAAATTGGACAAAAAGATGAAGATACAAGACTGTGAACTTAACGGCTTTAAGAACTACAATCCCATGAAGCATTGCGAATGGCATAATCGAGGGAGAAATATAAAACTACTGTTTATTATGTTTACAACACTCATCCTTCCCTCGGGTCATTTTGACCCAAAACTCATTTTTTTAAATGTTAGAAAATTGAGTGTTCATTAGAGGGGTCCAAGACCCCAGGAGTTCTGTCTCACTTGAACCACGAATACACACACACAAAAATTAATAGATTCGAGAAGTTTTGTGTGAAAGTTTTTTTAAAAAAAGAAATGAATCCTTCACTCGCGCCCTTAGGAATGACTGGAATGCGAGGAATGCTTCAGTACACATAGAAAAACCTCAAAATACTCAAAATTCAAACTAAAATGACAACCAAAAAAGTATTTTATAATGTCTACATGTGTGTCTGAACACACACTGAAGAGCAACTGGCTTTAGGACCCAGCGGAACAGTTCGTTTGCTCCATTTAACGCCATCTAGTGGCTAGAGTCATGAAATATCATGTCATTTTATTTATTTTCCACAAGAGGTCACAAAGACACCCGTTGTGAGTTATTTTGAATTTAAGTGTAAAGAATGTGAGGATGAAATATGCTTAAATTACTATTTATTCATTATTTATTGATCAAATCTAGTAATTTAAAGATAAATAAAGTAAAAACAAAAAAAACACAACTAACTGCATTAAAACTAGAAAAAAAATATGATCAAAATGAAATTAAAAAAATGTATTTTTGTCCAGAAAGCTTTAAGTATAATAATTTTAGGGCTTTGGGTCATTTTGACCGGTGAGGGAAAGATCTGTAACAAAGTGTGAGGGAAGAATGAGGGATATAAAAACAATTATTGCAAAAAATGCATATACTGTATATTAATATATTTAAGTATTTCGAGAGCGTCTCAATTCCGTCATCCGCAGTGCTTCATGGGAGTGGGCGGAGCTAAAGATAGATTTGGGCACATTTTGCTTATTGTGGCTTTCTGATTGGTGTAATTTCTGCACAGCATCATGGGTAATGTAGTTTTTCACCAGGAATCCCACAATTATTTTAAAAATAAGCTGAAAAAATAGATTTTTGCATACGAGTGGTTTCAGGCGTTCCTATATTTATTTTATTTTTTGTACGTTATTTATGAATCATGATTAGTTTGTGAAAACGTTCTTGTACAGATTTCACATACAAATTTGTGCGTACGCGAATGAGATTCACACGAAAACCTACTCTAGAAGGGCCAAAAGACTTTGTTAAAGGGCATAATATGGCCTCTTTAAAAAACAGCAATTCTGATGAATCTAAAACCCTTCTAATTTGCAGGCGTACACCAGGTGGCATTGCTGACCCACGTGGACCAAGTCTGTAAAACTACCGGAAGTGACGTCACCAACGTTTACCGGAGCCTGGCCGTTCAGCAGACAGTATGTCATGCTCGATGGTTTAACTGTTTCTCCTGCTGTCTGCCATGAGCTTCCCATGATGCCCTCTGTCTCTCTGTAGATGGTGAAGGCCGGAGCGCTGCTGGGAATGGCCACTTCCTACATCGTCCCAGTGAAGAACTACTGCTCAGAGCTGGACCTGGACGAAAACGTAGATATTCTACTGCTCAAAGCTGTCGATCATATCTTACAATATGTCAATCTGTATTTCCAAGACAACAGCGACTAAAGCACTTCAGTAAGAAAAAAACGTCACATTCCCCAAAATGAATTCATCTCAATTTTGTCCCATTGAAATGTTGATGCCAAAGCTTGTAATTCTTTGATAAAATTATTGTAAGTTTATAAAACTTTAAGTTCTTTACAATATATATGCGTTTAAATTGTCAGTGAGCTTTGACCAAAGCTTTGGGTTGGTTGTGAGGTTATTCGGTTATGAGGGTCTCGTGTGTTTTAGGCTTGTTTACTGTAATGCAGACACCTATTTAGTTGATGTGCACCCTAAGTGCCCTTTTATACAGAATGCTTTTATGTGTTAAAAGTGTGGTGGAATTTAAAAGCTATAGATGCTTGTTTCTGCCACAGAATCAAACAATTAGCCTAAAAAGGTAATTGCTACTTTTTATCTCACAATTCCGATGATTATACTTTGATTTTCATATAAACTTGCAATTGTGTGAGAAAAAAAAGTAATAATTGTGAGATTAAAAGTCACAATTATCTTTGATATATCTTTTTATATCTGTGGCGGAAACAAATTTCTGCAAAAAAAAAAAAAAAAAAGCATTTCTAGACATTTCTATTTTTGTTTTGTTTTTCAAAAATGCTTAATGTGTGAATGGTTCCCAAGACCTATGAATAAAAAAAAAAAGATATCCAACAAATGTGGCATTATAGGTGTTTTTTCATCTGTAAAAACTTTCAACAAAAAAGATTATATGTAGCCTATAGGAATGGGCTATATGCACGCATAAGTTCCGCATTTGACGTAAGGATGCTCGTCCATTTCCGGTTGTGTAGATTAAAGCGGAGGAAAACCGGAGAAAACGGGATTATGGCAGAGTCTTCAATATTTACTGTCCTCCCGTCTTTGAAACGAAACGTACATACGTTTAGATGTAATTTTATATATAGTTATGTTTATTTAATATAATTTTAAAAAGAAGCATAAACACAACGAGGGGTGTCTGTTTTATCTGTTTTTGTGACTAACGTTTCATTAGTATAACCATGGAGTATAAAATTCAATATAAATTCTCGGTATTGCATTGGACTCTATGATCGGCGGAAGTTATCGAGCATCCTTAATCCTTCACCGGAAATAACGCCGTGCATAGAGCCCATATCTGGTTGTCAGGTGATTGCTGACATCAGCAAATAAAAACACCTAATACATGAGATGGCATATAATCCATTGTCCTGATACTAATATTTTTGTCTATTCTACATTGAAATCTTCCATATTTTACACGTACACATAGTTCAACAAATGAAAAATAATCTTGCGTTGGCCGGGAATCGAACCCGGGTCAACTGCTTGGAAGGCAGCTATGCTCACCACTATACCACCAACGCCTGCTGCCTATAGCGCGCAGGGCCGTTCTCATTCGCGTGACACTGAGGAAACCTTCTCGACGACAACGGTGCTTTTAGCGATTTCATTTCATTCACTGTTGCTCTGGTCCTCAGCTTGGCTTCCTTTAGCCATTGTATTATGAACGCAACTTCAAAAAAGTCCACCTTTTTGGCGAAATTTGCTTTTTTTTAACCCAGAACACTCTTTGAATCCAGATTCGTTTTACAAATAACCTGTGTATTTCTTTGTTAGGCTATTCACTTATTAGTATGTACTTCGGTAATTACTCAGTTGATATGATAGCAGTTATATATCATGTGTGTTGCCACTGTGTATGAGTGCATCACATACTATATGGAGTCTCTTCTTCTGTATAATTGTTTTTTGTCACACTTCATCTATATCAAGGTTGTGGTTTATTCACACCCTTTCTCGTTCGCACATACGTAACTTAGGCTTTCAATAAAGATTTGACCATAGACAGTAAAAGGGATTTGACTGACTTCTGTGCATCAGTGTCACTCTGTCTTTAATTTGATAAGGAAGATCCATAGTTATTTATCTAACAATTATTAAAAGAAGCAACAATCACAAGCGAACTGTAAAGCGACGAGAAAATAAACAAGTGCCATAAGTGATAAGTCTGCGTAGTGGTGTCGAGTGGTGTACGTTGTCTCTGTAGGTCACGTGATCGTTGTTGCACCAGAAGGTGGCGGCAAGGGACCGTGTTTATGAGCCGAATCATTCACTGAACCGATTCGTTCAAACACGCTGAATCATTCAGGGAAGTAGTAACTGCCAAACGCAATTATGCGCAAAACTGTGTATTTCGCTCGTGTGGAGCCACAACTCTACACAAGAACACAAAGATCAGTTCATGAGCTCGTATATAATATTATTATTATTATTACTACTACTTATTATAACAAGCTGATAGTCTAAAGTGTGTGAGTAGTTTATCAGACAAGGAGACATACGCAGTGCTGTGGTCCAAAATCACTGATCTAACCTATGAAACAAAATCGTGATTTATTATTTTATATGTATTTTTTACATAACATAATCAAACTATCAATAGAAAGAACAGTACTTGCAACTTTGCAAGCAGAGTAGCCTAATTGTTTTTCCACAATCCTTAAAATAGTGTGTGGTTCTTAGGGGAAGTTGTTGTGATTTATCTCTGAGCTTGGTGTTTTATCCGGATATAGGTGTTTTTTAATCCCTGTGAGAGAAAATGCATGGGAATTTCATTTTGATCGTAAACCAAAACGCTAGCAGCCTGCGACGTGCGCGTGCGCGTTCACACAGCAACGTAACATAACGTATATGTAGTCCGACGTCATCACGCTGGACTCTGACAGCGTTATTTTGTCATGATCCTATGGTCATGATCGAGTATTATAACAAGTAAAGACCTGAGTTCAGCAGAGGAGGACCCTGGTGCAAAGGTAAGTCAGAAGTTACCTTCAGATATAACGTATCTGTTACGGAAGACGACAGACTCTGTGAAGCTGTTCTTCACTGATTAAGAAAGACACAAATCAACTGCGAGCTCGAGCTAAAGCAGGTGAGTCGATGTATAGATTTATTATTACACGACAGTCAATAGAAATGCGTGTCTGGTTTGAAACAGCTGGCTCTGAAACAACAGGCTCTTTTGCTGCTGTATTAGTTTGACAGTTACACGTCTCGTGACGTTATTAGAAGAGAGTTAACGTTATGTTTAACACAACAACGTCATCACGGCGAAACAAGTGTGCCTTTGCTTTTGAATCTAAATGAACTGTGAATGTGGTTGATGGCTGGTGTAAAGCCAACATTTGAGAACTAACCAGGAAAAAAAGTGCGACATGTTGAATAAAAAATATCTGCTTAATTATTATTTGTATTGAGTGTAAACATGAATATCTAAAACTTTAAAATACGTGGTGCAAATATGAAAGTTCAGTGAATCTCGTATCTGTCAAGAACATGTCTGCGTCATATTTAACCCCATAAAGGAAAATCATTATGCCCAAACAAAAATGGTCTTTTTAAGAAAAGAAAAAAGATTACTGTACTGTGGAAATAATATGCATATTTTAAAGGGGACTTATTATGCAAAATTCACTTTTACATGATGTTTGAACATAAATGTGTGTCGGAAGTGTATACACAACCACCCTATAATGGTAATATTCAACCCAATCCTCATTTTAATCCCCATAAATCTTAAGCAGTGTCCAAGAACAACCTGTTTGCAGATTGTAGCTTTTGTGACATCACGTCACATTGCACAGGTCCCTCCCACTACTGCTGATAGATTAGCATAGTCTCCGCCCTCAGTGAGCTGGACGCAGTCCACCATGTTTATCTCCTCGCCAGAGCAACAGTAGCATTCAAGTAAGAAATGTACTTGCGTACCGCTCGGCTCCGCCCCCGCTCTCCTGCTACAGACCTTCGCTGAACCACGCCCCCCTCACTACGATGATGTACAAATTTGGTTACACTTTATTTTAAGGTGTCATTGTTAGAGTGTAATTATATATTTAAGTACTGAGTAATATTAAGCAACTACATACTACTATAGGGTGCTTGTTACTATTGAGCCCCTTTCACACAGCGAGTTGATCCCGGGAAATTGCCAGAACGCCTTCTGTGTGAACGCAAACACAACCCGGGATTGATACCAGCATCGATGCCGGGTTGGGGACCTAGTAACATTGCCGGAATCATTCCCGGAGCGCGCGCTGTGTGAACAAAAGCCAGGACCAATGCCGCAAGGGGTGTGTCATAGTGACGACGCTCGTGCCATCGCGCGACTCTGTTGCTCTTGGAAGAAAGTTGGTGTTCGTCATCAACAAAGAAAGAACGAACAAATGTCTGCAAACTGGAACGAAGGAGAGACCAGGAGCTCCTCACTATCCGCGCTGAAGCTGAGATCGTTCACCAGCGCGTGTACGGTATGCGCGTGTACATGTTTTCGGCGCGTACATTACACGTCTCATCCTGACGTCATGTGTCTTTCCGGGATTTTTACTGGTTGTGTGTGAACGCACTCACAGATCCCGGTAAATCACTGAATGAACCGAAATCAAACAATCCCGGGACAAATGCCGGGTCACATCCGTGTATTTTCCGGAATCTCTTAGGGTTTGGGCAAGATTAGGGTTGGTTGAGGGTTAACTGCGTGTAATCATGCATAATTTACTGTTATTTCTATGGTATGTACATGTAACATATACAAGGACACTGTAAAATACAGTGTTACCCAAAATTTAGATTTATTGGCAGATATATCGGTTATCAGCTTCCAAATATTAAGAATTATCAGTTATTGTTATCGGCCAAAAATGTTCATATCGGTGCATCCCTAATTTCATTACAGTAACGGGAATCTAATGAATCGCCTTTGAGAAAAATGGGAAGAATTGCACACAAATCCAAAAGCTTTGTGACCATGGGAATTTGTATTATGATACATTAGTGTGAAAAGTAATGTTCTCTCGGTCAAAAGATTTTTTTAATGTTTTTAAAATATTGTAGCATTTATTTGATTAAAAACTGTAATTTTTTTTAAATATTATTTCAATTAAAAATAGTAAAAAAGTAATTTAAACTGTATATTTAAGAAGATTTAACTTTTTTCAAAAATAGAATTTTACTTGAAATAGAAATATTTAGTCAACCTACATTATAAATCTCTTGACTGCACCTTTTGGTCAATTTAATGCGTCTTTTGCTAAATAAAAGTATTTGTTTCACACAAACAAACCTTCCTGACCCCAACACTTTGAACAGTGGAGTATCATCAGTGGAGTTGTGAATATAATGTTAGATAACACGGCCATTTCATTGCTTTGATTTGTGGGGTGAAATATGACCTGAACATGTGTGTGAACGTTAATAACAAGCGGTCTGGTCCTGCAGCCCAGTGGAGCGGGATGTTGCCTGATAAAGATGGACCAAATGGAGGCGGAGGAGTCCGGGACGGGCCCGGGACAGAAGACCCCTCAGTGACCCTGTTCAGAGAGTACCTGCGGCTGAGGACCGTCCACCCCGAGCCCGACTACGGTACCTTCTCACTTGATCCTTAAAATAAACCCGAGATAGTGTTCACCATCTAGGTTTATGATTACAGTTACCCTTTGCCCAGGAGTTGGTGTTGACCCTGTAAATATTGTTTAGGTTGGCACATAACTAGCTTTAAGACATCCATCCAAAGTGCATTATTTGATCTCTGCCCTCGCTCTTTAAGTGCTGGATATTTATAAACTAGCAGTTGGGTATTCACTGACTTGTGTGCGTTTAACCGAAATTGTTTGCTATGCTGAAATACAGAAGAGTCTGAAAGGTAGAGTTCAGCAAATAATGAAAGGATGTCATTTCTCTATTGTCATTCCAAACCTGTATTGTTTGTATATTCAAACAATGATGTAGATATTGAACTATGTTGGTGACCAAGCAGTTTTGGTACCCATTGACTTTCATTGTATGGATTTAAAAAAACACACACACAAAGAAAACTGACAATTCTCAAAATATCTTTTATGTTCCACAGAAGAAAGAAAGGCACACGGGTTTGGAACGACATGAGAAACAAATAGTCAGATGAAATATAACATATCTTTGTGACATGTTAATCATTTTAAAGTCACTCTGTAGTCTGTTTTTGATCAGCAAAATGACAAATTTAAATTGTTTATGCCTTAAAATAGCTTGAATGTAACTCATGTATTAATTGTAAAAACTAATGCAATGCTGTAAAAATGCATTAATCTTAATTTATTTTAAGGTAACGTAGTTACACATCACATGCATTATAGTAATAACAGTACATTTTGCATAATTAAGCAAAACCAAGCCCTATAGTAAGTACATGTAGTTAATATTACTCAGTACTTGTGTAATTAAACTGTATCAACATCACCTTAAAATTAAGTGTAACAGATTAAAATATATATATATTTTGCTATTTAATTCCAGCTACTCCGGCTTTTGTAAATATTTTGTTTTTACATAGTTGCAGTTTGACTAAATATAAAAATGCAGCTATTAACCCTCTGGGGTTGTTCGGCCCAAATGGACCCGAAGAATTTAAATAAAAAAAATAAATAAAAATCAGCTACCTCAGAATGGTCCGAAATTTGGTGACTTATTTGGTATTTGAACACCCAAAAAAATTGGGGACAAGATGTGAATAGTCTAAGTGGTTGTAAAAAAAAATAGTCACACTTGGGGTGTTCGGGTCCAAATGGACCCGCATGGAAAATGAATGGGAAATTGGGAAGTTTTTTTGTGCGTACAATCTACAAATCAGCCACGATCTTGAAAAAAAGCACACAACAGTGAAGGGGTGAATCTAAACAGACACACACACAAACACACTTTTATAAACAAACACACCAAAAAATTCAGATTATACATGTGTTTTGCATTTTTAAAATGCTCAGTTTGTCCACCAGGCATCCATCTCATTTCAAAAATTGCTTTTATGAGGCCTAGGCTTGACTCTAAAATGAAATGCAGCTAAAAAAAAATTTTTTTTCTATGTTCAATGGGGGGAAATTTTGTCATAATTACTGCATTAATACTAATTATATATATATATATATATATATATATATATATATATTTAATTTTCTCAAAACACCAAAAAAGAAAAGAAAAAATATGATAAAAAACGAGTAAAAAAAAAATTTTTTTTTAAAATATGAATCCCGCCCTTTGGGTCCATTTGGACCCGAACACCCCGAGTGTGACTCTGAAACGAACAACCCCAGAGGGTTAAATATTTATCCATGCATACAGTATGTTGTAATGGATCACAATGAGCATCCTGTAAAGTAAACCTTGTCCATGTCGTGGATCATTGTCAGATGGTGCTTTGAGATTCCTGGAGCGGATGGCAGGCGAGCTCGGCTTACCCATGAAGAAGGTGGAGGTAATGATTCATGTGAAAGAAGTCGACTGATAAGCTCCTGCTGGATCTGTGTGACTTCCTTCATCGCCTTCATCTCTGGCTCTCCCAGGTGTGTCCCGATCGGGTCGTGGCCATCATCACATGGGTCGGCACCAGGCCTGAGCTGAAGTCTGTGGTGCTCAACTCACACACTGATGTCGTTCCTGTGTATGAGGTACGGCCGTAACACACATCCGTCAGCGCACGCGTCGGACCTTCTCACTCATGCGCTGTGTGTCTGTGCTTCAGGAACACTGGAAACATGACCCGTTCGCTGCTGTGAAAGATGCGGAGGGCAACATCTATGGCAGAGGCTCTCAGGATATGAAAAGTGTCACGATACAGTGAGTTTGAAACCAACTTAAAGAGCGTCCATTATGATCATCTATTGGAGTATTGGGAGTTATTCTCTATATCTGTGTCTCCGTTGCAGTCTCGAGTTTCTTTCGGGAACGATATTCCTCATTTAATAATTAACAGGCAGAATAAAGGGGCGGGGCCTGGTTGAGTTAGTTAGTAGTGTGTTAAACTGGCGGGACATTTCCCAAAAACACTCAAAGCGCTTGACCAATCACAACACACTGATCCAGCCGACCAATCAGAGCACAGTGTGCTTTTCAGGAGGAGGGGCTTCATAGAGACAAGAACTAAACTGAGCGATACTGACAGACTGGGAAGAGAGGAGCCGCAACAATGGAGAATATGAGGAAAATAATCGACTGGAAAACCTGTTCTTGTTCTAGTAGAGAGAGATTAGTAAGAGATAATGTACATCCGACCGGTTGTTGTCTTATAGTAAACCCAGCTGCGTTTGTGTGAAATGAGAGAGCGAGGCCACGATACTGGATGGGAGAATTAAATAACTATACAAAATATTGATACTACTGCCAAATGCAAAAACGCCCTGTTTGAGCAGTTATCTGGGCATAACGTGCGATTGACCAATCAGAATCAAGCATTCCCCAGAGCTGTGAAATAATGGTGCGTTCAAGTCATCTCGTATAGATCGTATTTACGAGTTGAACGCCACCATGATGTCGTAAATACCAGTGGGGAGCTCGGGATTTTCTCTAAGCCCCGATTTTTCCGAGTTGTGGGCGTGTCACTTAGAAACATGGTGGAACCACAATACTTAAATATAATGCAGTGATATTGTCAAGGTTTTGTTATTAACAGCGCAGTTAAGCGAATTGCCTGCACAGAATATGATGGCATTATTATATAACAGTGCAAGATGTAACGATAAAGTTGGCAGTGGCTTTATGGATGAATTAAAAACATAAAAAAGTACATCCGATGCACATTTCTTTGTTTTTCATTTTCTAGAACAAGAGTTTAAGAACCTTACTGTATTTGTGTAATTAATTAAGAGAAAGTACTCCGCTATCTTCCTCAGACGAAAGTGACTTGAACGCACTGCCATCGTAAACACGACTTCCCTCCTCGTACGTACGAACTTGAACGCACCATTTAAATTTGTTACAAGCTTTGTCTGAAAGTTTAGGATAGTGTAAAAACGTTTGAAGATTGTACAGGCCATATTTCTTTGACTTCTATCTTTGGTCTGTACAGCTTTAATGGTGCGTTCACACTGGACGCGAATGATTTCAATGTTAAGTCAATGAACGCGCGTAAAAAATTCCCGCGGCACGAATGAGGCGTAGAGCGCGGCGCGGTAGATGCGAATACGCCTCATTCGCGCGTCAAGTTCGTGGGAATTGAGCGTCTGCCGTGTTAATCGCGTTACGCGCGAATGATTTAGTTAGTGCTATTTTTGCATTCACGTGTTTGACGCAAATTCGCGCCCGTGTTAATTCGCGCCGCGTTAACCAATCAGGAGCCTGCTGCTGTCACGTGGTGAAGGATCTTTTGTAATATGATTAAATGCCTGGTGTGGTTCTAACGCACAACAAAGCAATTATTTGATCTCTTAATACTTTATTTCAATATACGAGACATGTTCATTTTCTATTGAATGTTATTTATTCCATATCTAGATTATATGAAATATTATTATGATGTAAAGACAACCAACATACATGAGCACAAGTTCGTGTCTGGACGTGAGAGAGAGAAAAATCACAGGACAGGTTAATAACTTTTGGAGGCTGGCTCTATTTATCATCAAAACAAAAATAAATGACAGATTAGATGGATGAGGGCGTGGGTGATCCTCGCTCCGATGCGGGACAACAGGTCATCAAACTGGGCGCGGGATGACTGACAGCGGCCGTCATCCAGCACAGCTCCTGGAGTGAGCAAATGGTGAAACTCGCCAAACGGTTCGGCGAGTTCGGTTGGCGACGATGATCCCCACGCCACTGTTCTAGCTCTCCTGAGTAAATACTGAGCGGTGACTCTCTCGATGAATGCTCGATCAACATAACAAAGATGGCCGCCAACGGGTTTCGATTCTGATGAGCGTGACATCAACTTTTATTTATACATGCGTCAGTTTCACTCTTGACGCTCGAATTAACACAAAGTGATCAAGCGTCAAACTAGACGCGAGTTTGACGCGTTATTCGCATCCGGTGTGAACGTAAGAGTTGTGGTCACATTAGCAAAATTTTAACGAAATTTCCTCTGCAAAAATGGGGTGTGGTCAATTGTGTAGCGTTGTATGAAGCACAACTCACACTGAAGTCTCACTTTCACGTGGCGAACACACATCTGTAATTCCCGATCAACGCCTTTGAAATTGTGCGAAACACCGATAAATATGAGCGCACGATTAGACAGAAACATTTTGGATCGATACGTTTTGAGACAATCTGAGATGTAGTGAGAACATTGTGCCAGTGTAAATCAGTAGTGTTTATATCTGCACATCCGGCGACCACTTGCTGAACTGACTGGAGGTCTGTGCCGAATCTGATGCCGTTTAGCGTAAAAGCTTAGTCAGAAATCAGCTGTGATCATCGGCTATGTTTTAATTAGATGTCTGAAACGAATAATAACTTGTTTAATTCTGTCTTGATTTCTCCCTCAGGTACATTGAAGCCATTCGCAGACTGAAGGCTTCTGGGAAGAGGTTTTCTCGCACTATCCATTTAATCTTTGTCCCAGGTCAGACTCTGACTAACTAATGCCTCTTTTAATTATTTTATACACAGGTGCTTTCATGGTTTCCTTCATAAAACCAAATATGCTGATAAAGAACCTTTAATTTTCAATGGCGCATATCATAAGTATGTAATACTAATTCTTCATTGGTTGATCGACTCACAACAACAAAACGCACAACAACACAATCTAATCTACCCGAATGCATGTCATCCCTCACATACTCCTTATCATTAAACATGGCATCTGCAATAGACGCCACTGTCCCCCATCCCGACGGTGTTTTCCCATGTTCTCCACAGATGAGGAGGTCGGCGGGCACAAGGGAATGGAGACGTTTGTGAAGCACCCTGAGTTTGAGCAGCTGAACATCGGTTTTGCCCTTGATGAAGGTAACAGTGCTGTGGATTCAGTCCTCCAGTTCTGCAGGCACTCACTAATGTAGATAGCGAGGGGTGAACCGCTTATATACAGTTCTGACACAGCCTCATCTCTAAACACAGTGACGACGGCAGTGCATTCAAACACACAACCCAACCAGTGTGTGCGATTCAATCTGATTACTGTATGAACTGCATTTAAATGGCGCATTGCAGGTTAGAGGACCCAACGAGTCAATGCGTAGAAAAATAATGTAGGAAGTAGATTTTCTTTAAAATATACTTATAAATTCGCTACAGTCGTTTTTGTGAGAAAATTTTACTTGCACGTGTGAAAATGGGCGTGACGCAAGGAGCGGTCGACTCAAACAACAGGAAAACGATGGATCGCGATGACATTTCAGATGCTGAGGAAATACTCGTATGACGGACCATGAAGTTATGAGCCTGCTATGCTAAAGAGAGCGGGGACAGGCCAGGATAATGTTAGAACGGTCAGAGACGCATTGAGCTGTGGTGTGAGGAGAAACTGGAGAACAGGACAGGTGCCTTTTGGTGAGAGACGTGCTTATAGATATACACGCTCGCTAACGATATACACTGTGCTCACAATATTATACATATTATTATGATCCTATCACAGGCCAGCAGACATTAGTGTGTTTAGGGTAGATTTATATACTATTAAATGTATAAAAACTTTACTAGAGTATATTTCTTTTGTACTAAAAGCATACTCGGGTACATTTTTAATACATATTTTTCACCTGGGTGAATAAGATTTGAGTATTTAAACAACCAATTTAGTTTTTTTAATTACAAGTTTCGGTACTTTCCTGTTATCCGGACCCCACCATTGGTCTTAAACCCTGTGACGGGTAGGTTTAGGGGTAGGCCATCGTGGGGTCCGGATAACAGGAAAGTACACAAGTTTCCTCTATTTAGGGCATGAGTAAGTTACCTATATCACACTATTTGATGCCATTGGTAGTATACGACGATCAATATTCTTGCTTCGGCATCCCGTGTTGAACTCCATCATATCGCCGGGATGATAATCATTTGATCTAAGTGAACGCTACACACGGCCGCGTTTTCCGAAGCTGATGCGGAAGAGAAATCCCGTCTCTTCACCTGCACAAACCGCACCAGGAACGAAAGATAGGCTATAGCACTGTCCCTTTTCTTGTAATGGAAACTTGTGGACTCGATCTTGAAGTCCTGACAGGCTGGAGTTTTTGCAATCTCCACAAACACAATAATTTACCATGACGATGATCAATTAAAATGCAAAAACTACCGAAACCACACTGACCGACGACCGCTCTCAGCATACTCTGCACTGAGCCGAGGCTGATCTCCCTGATATGACGTCAAATGACATTTTGACGTCATCATTGACGCTTTGACGTCAATGATGTTGTGAAAAAGCCGTTTTTTTTACCAGCAGTCCAATAAACCCTCACTTTATCTACTAAATTAGTGGCCTAATGTTGTTTTAAAACATTTTAAATACCTTTCATATGGTATTTTCATACAAGGTTATCTATAAATTTAGATGTTGTTTTTTTTACCTGTAATATGCTGTTTAAAGTTTTTACCTGTTTGATTTGTTCACAGGTTTGGCAAACCCAACCAATGCTTATACTGTCTTCTACGGAGAGAGAAACCCCTGGTGTGAGTATTGTGTGTGTGTGTCAGTAAACATGCACTGTGTGTGAGACTGACTGTGAGTGTGTCAGTGAACATGCGGTCTGTGCTGCAGGGATCACCATTCGCTGTCCAGGAAGTCCAGGTCACGGCTCCAGGTTTGTGGAGAACACGGCAGCAGAGAAACTAGTGAGTGTGTTCAGAGTGTCATGTGACCAAACACTGGAGGCTGGAGTTGCAGTTCATGTCAAGTGCAATGGAGAAGAAATATGCCACTCATAAACTTTTGAATGATAGTATATAAATGATTTTAGGTTTTTTTTTCTTTATATATATATATGTGTGTGTATATACGTATATATGTATATACGTATATGTATGTGTGTATATATATATATATATATATATATATATATATATATATTTTTATAGACACTATTGTTCAAGTTTGGGTTCAGTAAGATGTTTCTTGAAAGAAATGAATTATTTTATTCAGCAAGGATGTTTTAAATGTATAAATGTAGCCTTGGTGAGCAGAAGAGACTTCTTTCTAAATATTTAAATAATCTTAAGGCCCGTTCACACCTATAATGATGGCTATACTGATAATAACGCTAAAGATATGGTTCTGAAAATCATTCTAAATATAGACCATTTCGCAAGATGTAAACAACACTGTTCCAGAAGCACTTCCTGTTTCAGTGTGTAACTGTTTTCCTTATTTCACATGTAAAGAAAAAACTTTTTGATTCAGTTTTATATGTTCTGTTGGTTGTATTTTATCCCAGCTTTTGTGTAGTGTGTAAAAAACTGAAACAGGAAGTGCTTCTGGACCAGTGTTGTTTACATCTTATATAAAATAGTTCACATCACAGCTATAACAATAACTATAGACCTTATGCACCAGAGAAACGTGGGCGCCGTCATCTTCAGAATATTGTCTTTGAACTTCCGTTTTTGCGGTCGCTCTGTATATTTCTATGGCACCGCTGTCGAGGAGTAATTAGCTAGTGAAGTGGATTTACTTATTTTAGAGTTAACAAAAGTTATCCTAAGCATTATAAAGCAGATGTCTTAAATGTCGACCGGGAATTTTTTACGAGCAGTTCATTCACATGCAAGATCGTTGTGAAAATACAGACCGGAAGTCAAAAGACGACGAGCGCTGCGCTGAAAAGGGGCGGGGCTACATAAGGTCTATATAGAGGAACCATATTTTCAGAATCATCGTCAGATCTATTTTAACGATCTTCTCGTTATAGTTGGTGTGAACGGGCGTTTGCTGACCCCACACTTTCCAACAGTGGTGTGAACGAAGATTTTCAGCGTCAATAAGCATAAAATAAGTGATGGCTGTTGAATATTGGAAACAAATGTCATTTCATATCCTGCGTAAAACACTTTGAGAATGTGTAACAGTTGCGGATGCAGTTGGATGTCCAGGACTCACTGAGAAACTACACAAAACATCTGTACTTTTAAGAGATCTGCAGGATTTATGACCGACTGAAAGTGGTTTAAAATTGTGAGAAGCTTGTAAATCTACAGTTGATGTGCTGCTCTGCTACTGTTTGTGATGGATGTGTCTCTGCTGTGTCACAGCGGCGAGTTATTAACTCCTTCCTGGAGTTCAGAGAGAAAGAGAAACAGCGGTGAGCTTTATTCACAGGTTGGCTTTTCAGCAGATCTGCTTACAGGAGAGCTGGGAAATGTGGAAATACACCCGTCTGTGTGATTTGCAGGCTGGACACCAGCGAGTGCTTCACTCTGGGGGACGTCACCACCATCAACATGACCATGGTGAAGGGGGGCGTGGCTTATAACGTGGTTCCTGCGGAGATGGACGTGAGCTTTGACTTGAGGATCCCGCCCACTGTGAACCTGCCGGTGTGTATGCGGACCCGCTCGTGTGCTCGTACGTGGGTTTGCTTTGAACTGATTGTCACGGCCTGCTCTGGTCATTCTGCAGGAGTTTGAAGAGAAGATCAAAGCCTGGTGCAGAGAAGCTGGTGAAGACGTCACGTATGATTTTGCACAGGTCTGGTTTATTTTTACACGCAACATGAAACACAGATTCAACCGGCCTGATCGCACATCCGGTTATGTCACGTGTCCGACTAAGAGGGAGACACGTTTTCGACTTAAAACGCGAAACTTTGTATCTGTTTTGGCCGCTCATTTATTTCAGTTCAGTAATTTCTAAGCTCAAATGGTCGCCTTGCTCTGTTCTGTGTGACTCCTGTTCAAACTCGTTCATCAAAATGAACGAATCTTTTTCCTGAGTCAATTCGTTCATTTCGATGAACGAGTTCGAACAGGAGAGTCACGAACGCTCATCACAGAGCAGAGCAAGGTGACCATTTGTGCTTATAAAACTTAAACTTTGTTATTTATTTATTAAATGAGTGATCGTTTCGCTTGATAAGACCCTTATTCACCGTCTGGAATCGTTTAAAGCCCTTTGAACAGTTTGCACTGAAACTCTCATTTGGACCTTGAACCGTTTGGTTCCCATTGAAGTCCATTATATGGAGAAAAATCCTGGAATGTTTTCATCAAAAACCTTAATTTCTTTTCGACTGAAGAAAAAAAGACATGGACATCTTGGATCTGGTTATGTCACGTGTCCGACTGAGAGGGAGACACGTTTTCGACTTAAAACGCTAAACTTTGTATCTGTCTTGGCCGTTCATTTATTTCAGTTCAGTAATTTCACTTCAATGGCAATTAAGAGGTAATCTTCATTGCCATTTAAGTCAAATTACTGAACTTAAATATACAAGCTTGTTAAAAATCATCATTCTAGAGGGAAATTTCAAATGGCACTAATATGTGTGTGTGTATGAAGAAGAAAGCTGTTTGTCCGCATGATTTGGCTTCATATCTGCTGTTTTTGCCTCCTCAGAAACACATGGATCAGAACTTCACGTCGACGGAGGACAGCGACCCCTGGTGGCACGCGTTCAGCTCCACCTGCACCGCCATGTGAGCGACACACACCGACGCTCATGAGCATGTGTGTGTGTGTTTACTGTGTGTGACTCTGTCTGTCTCGTGACAGGAACGTGACTCTGAAAAAGGAAATCTTCCCCGCCGCCACAGACAGTCGCTTCATGAGGGAAGTAAGTGATTTCACTTCTCTGTCTGCGAGAGCGAAGAACCCGACACACTCTATACTTAAAGGAGTAGTTCACTTTTAAAAAAAGCTTTTGCTGATAATTTACTCACCCCCATGTCATCCAAGATGTCCATGTATTTCTTTCTTCAGTTGAAAAGAAATTAAGGTTTCTGATGAAAACATTCCAGGATTTTCTCCATATAATGGACTTCAATGGGAACCAAACGGTTCAAGGTCCAAAAGACAGTTTCAGTGCAAACTGTTCAAAGGGCTTTAAACGACACCAGACGATGAATAAGGGTCTTATCAAGCAAAACGATCGCTCATTTAATAAATAAATAACAAAGTTTAAGTTTTATAAGCTCAAATGCTCGCCTTGCTCTGTTCTGTGTGACTCTCCTGTTCAAACTCATTCATCAAAATGAAGGAATCTTTTTCCTGAGTCAATTCGTTCATTTCGTTCGTTGAATCAACCAAATGACACGAAAAAGATTCGTTCATTTTGATGAACGAGTTCGAACAGGAGAGTCACAAACGCGCATCACAGAACAGAGCAAGGCGAGCATTTATGCTTATAAAACTTAAACTTTGTTATTTATTTATTAAATGAGTGATCGTTTCGCTTGATAAGACCCTTATTCATCGTCTGGAATCGTTTAAAGCCCTTTGAACAGTTTGCACTGAAAGTGTCTTTTGGACCTTGAACTGTTTGGTTCCCATTGAAGTCCATTATATGGAGAAAATCCTGGAATGTTTTCATCAAAAACCTTCATTTCTTTTCGACTGAAGAAAGAAAGACATGGACATCTTGGATGACATGGGGGTGAGTAAATTATCAGCAAAAGTTTTTTTTAAAGTGAACTACTCCTTTAACATATTATGAGGGAATTACTTTCTGCGAGAGCCAAGAACCCGACCAAAGTCTCTTCTGCTCGCCAAGGCTGCAATTATTTAATTAAAAATACAGTAAGAACAGTAATATTGTGAAATATTATTACAATGTTAATCTGCTGTTCTCTATGTGAATATATTGTAAAATGTAATTTATTCCTGTGATCAAAGCTGTATTTCAGCATCATTACTCCAGTCTTCAGAGTCACATGATCCTCCAGAAATCACTCTGATGCTCAAGAAACATTTATGATCATTAACAATGTTGAAAACAGTTTTTTACATTTTTATTTCAGGATTCTTTGATGAATAGAAAGTTCAGAAGACCAGCATTTATCTGAAATAGAAGCTTTTGTAACATTAAACTCTACCGTTCAAAAGTTTGGGGTCAATAGGAATTTTTATTTTATGTTTTTGGGGGAAAGAAATCAAATAAATATTTGTGTTCATCAAGGATGAATTACATTGATCAAAAGTGACAGTAAGGATATTCATAATGTTACTGTTCTATTGAACCTTATATTCATCAAAGAATCCTGAAATCGACCGTTTTCAATATTGATATAATAGTTTTTGGAGTGTCAGATCATCATATTAGAGTGATTTCTGGAGGGTCATGTGACTGGAGTAATGATGCTGAAATACAGCTTTGATCACAGGAATAAATTACACTTTAAAATTAAAAACGTGCAGAAATTATCATAATATTTCACAATGAAATGATGTATTTTTTGTTGTATTTTCAGCCTTGGTGAGCAGAATAGACTTTTTTTTTAAAACATAAAAATGGAGACAGACTGGAAGTGTGTATGAGCGAATGACGCTGTGTATTGTGTGTTTTTGTAGGTGGGTATTCCTGCCATCGGCTTCTCCCCGATGAACCTCACTCCCATCCTGCTTCACGATCACAACGAGTACCTGAACGAGCAGGTGTTCCTGCGGGGCGTCCAGGTGTACGAGTGTCTGGTGCCCGCCCTCGCCAGCGTGGCTCCTCTGAGCGGAGAAGTGTAGATCACACACACACACACACACAGCTGCTTCACACGTATCGACCGTAACACCAAAGATCCGGCTGATCCCATATAATGAGGATCTTTAATGAACTCTTTAATTAAGAGAATAATGTCTTAGATATGCTTTTAAGTCTTAATTGTCTGCACAATTATTAAGAATTGTTTTTAATTCATAACACTCTCAAAGGAAAGGTTCACTTAAAATGAACATCATGTCATCATTCGCTCTCCCTCGTGTCGTTCCGGACCTGTATGAGTTTCCTCAGCCGAACACAAACCAAGATGCTTTGAGGAGTGTAACCAGACCCCGTTGACTTCCATAGTCATTTTTTATTTTCGTACTATGGAAGTCTGGTTACGTTCTTCAAAATATCTTCGTTTGTGTTACTCGTACAGTTTTGAAACAACATGAATGATGATAGAAAGTAGGCGGTTTGTGTCTCGTACATCTAATGAAAAAAGGGCATGATTTCAGAGACTCCAACCATATAGCTGTGCTTGCCATAGATGCATTATATTTTTTAATACAAATGACTTTGATGCAATCATATAGTTATGTATACTGAAACTGTGTGAGGGTCATTGATTACTATGATGATACCACACAATAATAATTATACACACTCACACTTATACTGAGTCAGATCTCTGTGGTTGACCGGTGCTACTTCGTCCTCCTGAATAAACAGAAGTTGAGAGGTACCATACATCAACTCCGTCTGACATTATTATGAGCATTTTATGATGTGTGTATTATATTATTGCATTATATTAAACCAGTGTGTTTTAGAATTGGTATTATGACATTTATATTTTGTTTTCAAACGCACTATTATTAGCCGATAGCTCCGTCTTCCACAATTGCCTACGTTTAAACTTTTCTTTGTTTCCATATTTCATCATGGACAAAGGCTACTATTAGATTTGATGGATGGATGTATTTTAATATGTATTCTATAGATGTATAATACTTTTACACTTGATTTATTACAGCTTTATTGGAAACAACACACAAAGCAATACATATATTTTCAATTCCCGTCACACGTCTCAAACATGCTCCTGGTAAACAAATACTCAAAAAAAAATCCAGTACAGTTTTAATGTGATATTCACAAGATTAAAACTGTTTATATGTTAGTTTTAATAAAAATCAACCCTGGGACGGTAAAGATGCAGAAGCTGAAAAAACAGTAATATCATATACATTAACATGAACACAAATTACAACCGTTTTTCTCTGATGGATGGAAGGACTTTTCTTTTTTACAGTCAATCATGATATAAATCTGAAGATGATAAGAAAGTTAATCAAATCTAAGCTTTAACAACATGACATCATGACTTTTGCGTAAACATATACGCCACTTTCGAGTCAGGTGGCGTGTCATCTCTACGCATTTTGAGCTATCCGCGTGTATCCGCGTGTATGCGAATATGTCTACGCCATTAACGTCCGCGTCATTCCACGTGTCTGTACACGCAGTCAAATCTCCAGTCATAAATGCCATTAACCCCAGTGACGGTTAAGTTTAGGGATGGGGTTGAGGTAAGTCATATATTTATATAACGTTAAGTCAACGGCGTTCATAAACACGCTGAAAGGCGATTATGCGTCTTGATAGCACGCCAAAAATGGAAATACGAATTGGTGTGTCATACACACGCTACTTCATGAGATCAGTCTGGCTTTAAAATAGTATGAGGCGACCCGTGTGTGTAAATCCTAATGCAGCCTAAAGGGGGCACCGTGTGACGCGGTTTCCCAGCATGCTGTTCGCTCTGTGGCATCGCGTGCTTGAGGAGAGCGCTTGACCTGGAAAAAATGTCTGGTGTGCGACCCCCTTTAGCCTCAATCACAATTCACCCCTTGGCCCTACCCTTCTGTTTTGCGCGTTCACGACTAGGGTGTCCCGATTCTTGTTGAGATCGGGGGGTAGGGCGAAGGGGTAGGGCTACATAGCCCTCAAAACGGAGATTCTTCGCAAACGGTTAAACATTTAAATTTAGCGCCAGATGATTCCACCACGCACTTTATTCACTCTTATAATAACAACACTGTAGTCATTTAAATTAAGAAATGGTATAGTAAATTACCTTTCCGATCAGAAAAGGCCTACATTTCGAGGAAGGAAAGATATAATCATCATGTTTATTCAAAGTTAAGAGCAGCTGCGCTGATTGTCAGTCGTTGTCTTCGAGAAATCCTGTAAAAACTCTGTAACGGCAAAGCCATCGTCGACGACTGATGACGGATCGGGGTCGTGAAGGGTTGTTCCATTTCGTATGGGAATATTTCACCCCTTGGCCATTGTAACTCTTGTTTTAAGGGTCAAGGGGTACTCTCGAAAACTAGGGGTAGGGTGAAGGGGTGAATTGGGATTGAGCCTTAGAGTCATGTAGAATCATGAAAAAAAGGGAGAAGGAGACGTCAGTCGTGCTAACTTGTACAAAATACATTCGGAGGAGATCTTTTTACCTCGTCTAATTCTTCTGTGAACTCCTGCTGTTTGACTCCTATCTCGTCCAGACTGGTCCTGCCTGAAAGTCAAAGAGGAACAGACCGAACTGACCTTCCCAACGTAAACAGCAACATAGTGTCTGCCCAGATCCAGCCCACGTCTGGTACGCATTGAATCTACATGTACTCATGTACTCCCGGATCTGGGCAGACACAATGTTGCTGTCTGGGTCATGAATTGAGAGATTTTCCACCGTCTTCGGGATTATGGACGTCTCTCACCTAGAATGAGAGCCAAAAAGAAATGACAGGATGAACACAGAAACTCGACCACTTCCGTGAGTTGCTGATGGTGGTGAATGTCGAAATATTTCGATTCTTACAGATTCTGAAGGAGAAGGAGAAGCAGGTCAGCCTCCAGAAAATCCTGGCCCCATTAGACCTCTTTTGGTTTGAGGGTCATGTGAGATGCCTGAAAAACGGGTTCATCTTCTGCAAAGAAATCTGCCGACACGGCAAAATAAACCGCAACTGCAACATCAGCAAAATGTGGTGCTGTTGAGCTGCAAAAACACTCAGGTTTTTCAGGAAGACATCACCTGGGGAGGTTTTATCTCGCCCGCTCTACCTCCTCGATTATGTTTTGGAAGACAAGTAGGTGGTCAGCCTGCAATAAAAACTGCAGCTTTTCCAAGTCACTGTCCTCCAGGTGATCTGCACACAAAACATTCTGTCTCTAAAAACATTGGAAGTGGACACTCCATTTGTGAGTGATCAAAAAACACTTACCAAGAACTCCTGGGATCGCATTTGGCCTGGGACTGATTCCTCAGCTGCTCTGATTTCAAGAGCCAGCTCTCCGTAGCACATTGCTCATCCCACACGCTGGTCCTTTAGCCTGTCCAGCTCCTAGAGTTGATTCTCCTGCCAGTTTCCAGTATTTATTGACCTTAAGACTTGAGGAGGAGTACAGTGGCAAGAAGCTACGTGTTTGTCACTACTATTGTCTTTCATTGTGAATGTTTTTTGAATTTCTTTTATTTGGAAATTTGTTTTTTTTCATGGAGACCTTCCGGCAGAGTTTATGTCCAGCACACCTGACAGGAATTTTCTAGTGTTCCTGAAGGCCTTGATTTGCTGTTTCAGATGTGGAGGTAAGTTTGAGGTAAGGGATTGGACACCCCTGCTCCAGAGTAGTGTTTCACAACCCTGGTCCTAGAGGCTCACCAACACTACACAACTCTTTCTAATCAATCACACCTGAATCAACTTGTCAGCTCGTTAGTAGAGACTCCAAGACCAGAAATATGTGGGTCAGGTAAGGGAGACATCCAAAATGTGTAGAGCTGTGGGTCCCTCCAGGAGCAGGGTTGAAAACCACTGGCCTTGAGCACAGGATCTCAACTCTGGACCTCTAGATACACTTTCCTGCAAGTTTACCTCCAACCTTGATAAAGTTCACCTGCCTGTAGCTTTCTGGTAATCCTGGAGACCTTGATTAGGTTTGTCTAATAAGGGTTGGAGCTAAACTCTCGAGGGCCAGAGTTGCCCACCTCTCGTGTATGGGGTCATATAGCAGTCAATAAGGGTGGCACTCATTAACTACGTTTACATGCAGCCAATAACCCGTTCAAAACCGGGATATTAGCAATAACCCGGTCGCGAACGGCCATGTAAACACCGGCAAAAACCCGGATATGCTCATATCCCGGATTTTAAAAACCGGGATATTATACCTGGGCTACCCCTTTTCTAACCCGAATTTTTTGTCATGTAAACACATATCGGCATATCCCCATAGTGACTTGTGTTCTTCGCATGTTCTATTCGCAAGGAATCTTGGTCTTTTGAGTAGAGAAACTTCTTGGCGCATACAAAAATCCGCGTGCAGTATACCGGAAGTAAACATGGCGAGACGCAGCACCGCATACTTTTGGAGCGAGGTCAGTAACGTTACCAGCATCAAAGCGCAAACAAAGGCGATCGCTATCTGCCTCCTGACTGATCTCATGAAGTAGCGTGTGTATGCCACGCCAATTCGTATTTCCATTTTTGGCGTGCTATCAAGACGCATAATCACCTTTCAGCGTGTTTATGAACGCCGTTGACTAAACGTTATATAAAGATATGACTTACCTCAACCCCGTCCCTAAACTTAACCGTCACTGGGGTTAATGGCATTTATGACTGGAGATTTGACGGCGTGTACAGACACGCGGAATGACGCGGACGTTAATGGCGTAGACATACACGCATACACGCGGATAGCTCAAAATGCGTAGAGATAACACGCCACCTGACTCGAAAGTGGCGTGTATGTTTACGCAAAAGTCATGATGTCATGTTGCTGCCTCAAACTATTCATTATCCGCGTGCCGCTGCTGTTGTTGTCTTTGGATACAGGAAGAAGAATCGGAAATGACACATTTTGCGTCTTAAGTTTGTCCGTACGTCTAGACGCTAACCGTGCACCGTTGTTTACATCGGGATATTGCAATTCCATAGGAGAAACTCTCTCTGCTCACTCATGTGTTTCAGAAACCTGAATAGTGACCTTAACCCGACCATAACCTGAAAATTAGCTGCATGTAAACGTAGTCAGTGTAAAAACCTAAAATGATAAATTAGACACCCTATGTTTAGGGGGTGTCTAAATCTGCTCCAGGAGGGCCACTATCCTGCAGAGTTTAGCTCTAACCATGATCAAGCCCACCCGCCTGTAGCTTTCTGTAGATCCTGAAGACCTTTTATTAGCTTGTTCAGGGGCCTGTACCATGATGGTAGTTGACAAAACCAAACCAATCCAACCAGGCTTTGTTGGTACCATGATGTGGATCAGCAACTTCCTCTGTCAACTCAGGCGTTTAGGTGTGACATCAGTAGCGAACAGCCAATCACGCGCTGAGAAAGAGTGAACTGTCTATGAAAGAGGAAAACTAAAAGAAAAATCCTTTCTAACTCTACAAGTAAAGCTTGTGAAGTTAGTTTATACAACTGATAAAGGTATAGAGAGAATTGAATTTTTAAACTCGCATGCATGTTGTCATTTTATAGATAAATTTATTAATTCTGTTACTTTATATCATTATGCATTTAAACTGTGCATGATAACAATTGATAAAACATTTTTTACATGTGATTAAGAGTATAATAAATCATAAATAAGTGACCTTTAATTTGGAGTAGAAACAGGTCGAGTGACTTTAGCGCATCAGACATGTCAAGTCAAGTCAAACTTTATTTATCGAGCAC